TTTTGGGGATCTGGGATGGGTTTGGAGGGGTTTTTAGGGATCTGGGATGGGTTTGGGAGGGATTTTTGATGGATTTAGGGGGGTTTTTAGGGATCTGGGATGGGTTTGGGAGGGATTTTTCAGGGATTTGGGAGTTTTTTGAGGGATCTGGGATGGGTTCCTCATGGATTTTGGAGGGATTTCTGAGGGATTTGGGGGGGGTTAGGGGATCTGGGATGGGTTTGGGAGAGATTTCGGAGGGATTTGGGGGGTTTTTAAGTATCTGGGATAGGGTTTGGGAGGGATTTTAGAGAAATTTCTGAGGGATTTGGGGTTTTTTTTGGGGATCTGGGATGGGTTTAGAGGGGTTTTTAGGGATCTGGAATGGGTTTGGGAGGGATTTTTGATGGATTTGGGATGGGGTTTGAGGGATTTCTGAGGGATTTGGGAAGATTTTGGGGATCTGGGATGGGGTTTGGGAGGGATTTCCAAGGGATTCCAGGGGGCCGGGAGGGATTTGGGGGGATTTCGGAGGGATTTGGGGGGATTTTGGGGATTTGGGATGGGTTTAGGGGGGTTTTTAGGGATCTGGGATGGGTTTGGTGGGATTTTGGAGGGATTTGGGATGGGGTTTGAGGGATTTGGGATGGGTTTGGGGGGATTTCCGAGGGATTTTGGGGTTTTTTGGGAATCTGGGATGGGTTTGGGAGGGATTTCCAAGGGATTTTGGGGGGTTTGGGGGATCTGGGACGGATTTTGGGGGCTTTTGAGGGATCTGGGATGGGTTTGGGAGGGATTTCCAATGGATTCCTGATGGATTTGGGGGGCTTTGGGGATCTAGGATGGGGTTTGGGAGGGATTTCTGATGGATTTGGGGATTTTTAGGGATCTGGGATGGGTTTGGGGGGATTTTGGAGGGATTTGCGAAGGGGTTTGAGGGATTTCTGAGGGATTTGGGGGATTTTTGGGGATCTGAGATGGGTTTAGGAGGGTTCCTCATGGATTTTGGGGCATTTTCCCATGGCTTTGAGGTGTTTTTCCCTGGATTTTTGGGAATTTCCCGACCTGTCGACAGCTGGGACGTTCCTCTTGGCCATGATGTTCCGGAATCGCAGCACGAGGTGGATGCAGAGGAAGACGGCGATCCCGTCGTAGCAGTCGGACACAAACCCTTCCATGTGCCTCTGGAATGGCATGGGAAGTGAGTCAGGATCCCAAGGAATCCCAGGGAATCCCAGGGAATCCCAGGGAATCCCAGGGAAAGTCTCCAACAAAAAAAAATTCCCCCAAAATCCCGGTGGACATCAAGGAAAAGGCCAAAAAAGTCAAGGAAACGTCCAAAAAAATCCCAGGGAAAACATCCCAAAATTCCAGGGAACTCCCCAGAATTCCAAGGGGAAGCCAGCCAGAAAAAAATCCCAGGGAAAATATGCAAAAATTCCAGAAAAACATCCCAAAATCCCAGGGGATGCCAAAGAAAAAGCAAAAAAAAAGTCAAGGAAGCCTCCCTAAAATCCCAGGGAAAACATCCCAAATTCCAAGGAAATCCCCAGAATTCCAAGGGAAAACATCCCAAAAATCTCAGGGAAACTCCCCAGAATTCCAAGGGAAAGCCAGCCGTAAAAGAATTCCAAGGAAAACATCCCAAGACCCCAGGGGACATCAAAAAAGTCAAGGAAATCTCCTCAAGATCCCAGGGAAAACCTCCCAAAATTCCAGGAAACTCCCCAGAATTCCAAGGGAAAGCCAACCCTCAAAATCCCAGGGAAAAACATCCCAAAATCCCAGAGAAAACACTCTCAAAATCCCAAGGAAACTCCTGAAAATCCCCAAAAATCCCTCGAAAATCCCCAAGAAACCCCCCCAAAATCCCAGGAAAGGCTCTTGAAACCCCAAAAAAACCTCCCAAAATCCCAGGAAAGGCCCCCAAAATCCCAAGAAAGGCCCTCAAAATCCTGGGAAATCCCCCCAAAATCCCAGGGAACCTCCCAAAAATCCCAAGAAATCCCTCAAAAATCCCAAAAAATCCCCCAAAAATCCCTCAAAAAAACCAAAATCCCAGGAAACCTCCCAAAAATCCCAAAAAATCCCTCAAAAATCCCAAAAAGTCCCTCAAAAATTCCCAAAAAACCTCCCAAAAATCCCCAAAAAATCCCCCAAAACCCCCAAAAATCCTGGGAAAGGCCCCCAAAATCCCAGGAAACCTCCCAAAAATCCCAAGAAATCCCTCAAAAATCCCCCCAAATCCCCCCAAAATT